TTAAAATTTCAGTGTCATAAATAAAGTTCTCTGGTAGCTCTGATGGTATGTTGGGTGTTGGGCTTCTCTGGTGTTTCAAATCTGCCAGCAAGAGAAAGATGAGCAATCTCCTCCTCCATTGCATTTACAGCCTTGAAAAACCAATAGAGGGTCACTGTGAGCCAGAACTGATGTGACAGTGGTAAGTATTTTTCAATTGAAATAAAGTTTTCTTGAAATGCAGCCATGCCCATTTGTTTTCATATTATCTACATCTGCTGCCGCAGAGACTCTATGGCCTACAAAACTGAAAATATTTACTATTGGCCCTTTAGAGGTCAAGGTTGCCACACCCCAGTACTAGAGCTTAAAGAGTGTTGTTATGTCATAAAAGAGGTAACCAAGAATCAACAGTAAGGAGAGGAAGAAGCTGTAGATGAAACAGAGAAGGGGTGTCTTATTTGGGGGGCCAATTCTGAAACCTCCACGGGAATACAGTCAGATAGCTCCTTTTTCTGAGTTCCTCTTCCCCAAGTTTTCCAGCTTCACTCAACATTATCTAGGATCCTTATGATAGTCAAGCAAGGCTCATCTGAGTATACCACTACCTTCCCCATAACTGGGATCTTCCTGATACTGAATGCTTCCCTCCCCTGACCAGGAGCCTGGTGATGCCATGATTGAAGCACAGTGTCTGTAGCCAAAAGGTTGGTGGTTCACATATGCCACTCCTGGGAGAAAGATGTGACAGTCTGCTTTATTGCTGTGGAAACCCTATGGGAGCAATTCTGTCTTTTAGAGTCAAGAGTCAGGTGGCAACGAATTTAGTTTTGGGTTTTTCTCACCCGATTATGGAGGTTCTTCCCTAGGGCACTCAAGTGCTCTGGATCCTCTGGTCCCAGCCCCCCTTAAGCTGATGTGGCCGGTTTCCTGGGATCTCACTGCATGGCTCATGCTGGAGTCCCCTTTCTTTCACCCATGTTTAGTCTTCATTTCTTCCCTCCAATCCTTTATACTTTCAAACTTACACCCTGAAAGACGTTCATATTGGGTTTTTTTTCCAATCTCCTTGTCAAGGAGTTCAACATCAGATTCAGAATTTGTGCTGGTTAGTTTGAGGTTAGTCCAAACTGCTTATGTGTCTTGTTGACAGACTTAAGACTTAGGTACTTTCCTGGGGCTTTCTACTTCCTGTAAGAAGGTGCCTCCAGCCTGCCCTTTAAAGTTGACATCTCACCTGCCCTGTGACAAATAACCTTCCCCTGAGCCAACTTCCCTGCCCAGCTGGCTCCCAAGAGTTGATTCTAGCAGCATTAATAAGAGTAAAACCACCTTCCTCCACCATGCACACACACTCCCAAACCTGGTCTGCTTTCCTTTGGTTCTTCATGGTTTGAGGAGAGGTGTCCAGATTCATTTATTCTGGTGAGGGAGGGCGTTAAAAATGAGAATGCAATCTGTATTTGTAAACTGAGGAGCAGGGGAGAACAAGAAACGAAAGAGGATCTGGTTGAAGGGAATCATGGAGGAAACTCTGAGCCTTTTGCTCTTACCATCCCATCCACCTACCACCATCCTCGCATCTGTATAGATGCCTTAACTGGAGTTCTCTTACAGATCTCATGAGAGAAAGTGGCTTCAGGCTGAGACACTCTTGCACTGGGACCATCAACTAGGTTTCTGGGCTGTGCTTAAGGTTTAACAAGACAAGTTGAGGTGAAAGGTATGTTAAAACTATACAAGACCCAATCCTCCAGCTGTGAACTACTATTTATAAGGAGGCCCTATGGGTTGGGGAAGTCTAGGGGCAAAATTTAGTCCAAAGACTGGCAGTTTAAACAGTGTATTTATCCTGGCGGGGGGGGGGGGTGTAGGGGGTAGGGGGAAGGAATCCTCACTCAGATGAACTCCTGAGACTCACAGCTCACCCTAGAGAACACAGCTCCTAGAACCACAGCCTCCAGCCCCCATCAAGCCTCAGCAGCTGTACTGGTCTTGAACTCAACTGAAAACTAATGCATATCAAAATAGTTCTTTTTACCACCTTCCCCCTTTTCAGTTCTGGGGGTCCAGTTCCTCTGAGTCCTTCCCCAGATTCTCCTTAGTGCACGAAATTGAGGGGCCCCTCCACCACTTCGCCCTGCCCTTGAATTGTAGCTTCCTCTCTCCTAGGTCTTCCAGAAAGTTCCAGAGGTCAGCAAAGAGGTATGTGGCCACAGTAAGCCCCTCTAAGGGGCCAAGGAGAGAGATTGCTTAGGGTCTGGTTCCCTTTCCTGTGAACTTCCACGCTGACCCCATACTGACCTCAATGACCTAAGGAAGGAGTCCTAAGGGGCTGCACTGAATGTTAGCTTTAATATGGGGAGGAAAAGGGGTCAAGCCTCCAGATCCTGAGAATTCAGAGAGGGGAGACTGTGAAGGAGCTGAGGTTATCCGAAAGAGAAAGATGCTAAAGCGGGGTGCGGGGGGGGGGACCCTAAGAGGGACTGTGACTACATTATTCACCTGTGATTGGCTCTCAGGCTCAGGCCAACTCCAAACCTGCCCAGCAACAGCCCAGAGAGGCCGGGAGTGGGCGGGCGCTGTGAGGAAGTCAGCTGAGCTGGGGCCGGGCCCAGCAGCTTCCAGGAATCGCTGGGCGGGCCCGCCACTCACCACCTCCCCTCCCTGGGTGGAAGGGCTCCGCCTTCATTCTTCAGTATCTGCTTATCCCGCTGAGGCCCGATTTCTTTGGTTCCTCACAGCAGATTCCCCAGATAAGTTCACCTGAGGGAGGAGCATATTGTCTGTCATCCCCTCTTAAGGCTGGCCAGAGACACTGAGACCCCTTCCTCACTCCCTACTCTGAGCTACTTGGTTTCATTTTCTCTTCTCCCCTTTTCCTTTTACCTCCTTCCTGAACTACTCACCTCCCAATATGTTCTCCAATTCCTTCCTTCTAAGCCACTTCTAACCCAGGGAGAGGCCGAGTTCCAAGGCAACCACGAGTATGAGTAGTGAGGGTCCCCAGAGCGGGGAAGTCCTGTCTCAGGCAGAGCCTGTGTCCAGTACAGAGGTTAGGTGTGCTCAGGAAATGGTCACCGAGAAATCTACAGGCCCTTTATTAATGGTCTTACTCAGGTGGACCCGGGGAGGTGCAGGGAATGGGGAGGGGCTTTTGCAGTGGAGGTAGGAGTCTGACTCTGTAGCACCTCCTGTCCTCTCTTGGCACAAGGACTCCAAAAGTAGCATCTGAGACTTGGAACTGCAGAGGTCAGGGTAAGGAATGCTCCTCGCACCCCCTGTCCTTTCTTGGCACAAGGACTCCGAAAGTAGCATCTGAGACTTGGAACTGCAGAGGTCAGGGTAAGGAATGCTCCTCTCACTCCACCTCTAGCAATTTATTTACCTACAGAGAAGAAAGGGGTGAGGGCTGGGTGGAGGGAGGCGCCTGGTGAGCCATCTCTGAGGAATGCGTATTTGGCAGGACATCCAGTACGGCCTAGGCTCCTCCCTCCAGCGGCCAAGTCCCCTTGAGTTAAACCATCCTCCTCCTCCAGCCGTTTTCACTGAGGAAAGGGATGGGATGGGGGTGGGGATGTATGTGTGTGTGTGTGTGTGTGTGTGTGTGTAAATAATAGCAGAAAGGATAGTGAAAACAGTCAATGACAGGGAAAAACTCCTGAAAAGACAGTGGCCCTTAGCCCAGAACCCGATAAAGGAGTACTACCTTCCAAAAAGTGTACAGAAAAATTCTGTCTATCAGGTAGCTCACCTCTGCCCTGCACTTTTTAACCTCTGAGCTCTGGGCCCAAACTCCGTATTAGAATCCTAGCTACACTGGGAGAAGCAGTGACCTCTAGTGGTCAGTGACTAACTTGCAGATACTAGGGTCTGTCCGACAAGCATCTTGACCTAAGGTGATCTGGACTCAATCCAATAGCTCTTTTCATCCTAAACTCTCCTGGGCCCTAAATGTTATTTCCTTTTCACTTTGAGTTCACCCTGCTTTGGTGGTTTGTATGAGGCTGGGTTCTCATGAGGACAAGGAAGAGCCTGTTTCTTATTTGTCATAATCATCTTTAATAAAGAATAAATTAGTTCTGGGTGGGAACCATTTTAGAAGGCAGGGAGTTGGGGTAGGGACCAGAGTGTATTATTGTAACATTTTTTTTGTCCACTCTGTCCAGCTGGTCCCTATCTGGGGGTGCGGAGAGAAGAGGGTAGTCTCTCTTCCAAGGGTAAAGTGGGACTGGCAGTGGCCGGCTCCTTTGCCAAAAAACCTCCCCAAACCCCAAAAATGACCTTGGCTTCAAGTCAATTCTATGTCATAGTGATCCATGTATTACAGAGTACGACTGCTGCATAGCATTTTCTTGCCTGTAATCTTCATGGAAAGAGCTCACCAGGCCTTCCTTCTGGAGTGCTGCTGCCTGGATTTGAACTGCCAACCTTTAGGTTATGAGTCAGGCACAAACTGTCACGCAGGGACCTTTGGTAAACCTTTCTCTGTAGCCTATTATGAGAAGTTGGGATAGACAGGCTAAGTAAGGGAAGAAGGGGTTAGAAGGCAAAAAGGGTGATTTAGAAGATGTGAGTCCTAAGGTATGAGAAATAAGGATTAGGGGGAAAAGCTGGGACTGATGGGCAGAGCACACTCTATGTAGCTCAGGTTAGCAAGCTGCAAACCTGATTTCCTTTCAGCCTAGGAAAGCCTCAAGGGGGACAGACATCGCCCCTCCCCCGTTCCCGCTCCGTCTGTCACTCCTGCGGGATTAGTTACGCACATGTATGAGCACACACATCCACGCGGACCCAGATACACACTTGGAGGCATATGTGCACACACAGCATTACACCAACACACAGATTCCGCAAACATCTTGAAGTCCTTATCAGGCATCTCTCCACCCTCAACTACCCTGGGGGACACACATCCCTGTTGAGACTGGGGCAGCTGAAGAGCCACGGGGTACAAAGTGGACTGTTGGGTGAGTGACCGCTGCTGGCATGAGAAGACCATGAAGGGACCTCTGGCCCTTTCAGGCAGGTTCCGGCGGGGACCGCTCCAGCACGTGGGCACAAGAGCGGCAACAGGTGGCCGTGTAGTAGGGGTAGACGCAGAGCCGGGCCTGCACCACCAGGGGGCAATGTGGAGAGCTGTCTTTACATTGATCATCTGAGGAAAGAGGAAGCCGGTGGACACAGGAGGGTTACTAAACCTGGAGGTGAGCTGTCCACTCACACTGATCCTTTCCCCCTCCCCACCCACATCATCAAACTCCACTCTGCGGGGATAGGGATGGATATTGTTACCAGGGCGCTGGCTGCAGGGCTGGGTGTTACAGGGTCGTTTCCTGGACGGCCGCAGGTGAGGAGGGCATCGGGTGCTGAGAGTCTGGTTGGCGGTCAGGCATTGGACCTCCCTCGTCTGCATGCCCCCCTGGCAGGAGCGAGAACACTGCAGGGAAAACAGCTGTCATGTCAGACCTTGCTGTGCCCCAGGTGCCTCTCCAACCCCAGGCCTCAATCTCCCTCTCCGAAGGGGGCATGGGAGGTGGGTCATTATGAGATCTCAAATGCAGAGGGCCCACCTGTCCTCCAAGTACACAAGACTCAGGACAGTGTTAAGGCATAGGTGGACACAGACCTGAAACGATGCAGTAGGAACTCCGCTTTCCCAGGAATGCCAGGCTGAACAGGCAAGGGAGTCGGGCACTCACCGGAGTCCAGGGTGTTGAAAACCAGCGGTCCTGGCAGCCTTGGCCCTGACAGGGCTGCAGGGCAGGAGGCCTTGGCAGGTGGGAACAGTTGCTGGGCGAAGTCACATTGAACTCTGTCCCCAGTTTGGACACACAGATGATGTCTCTTCGCTGTGTGCCTGAGCCACATTCTGAGGAACACTTGATGGGGAGGCAAAGGGACATAGGAGGATGGAGACAAATTCTCCACTGTGACTGGCACCCCCCCAACTTGCCCCACTGCCATCGCCCCACTCACCTCACCCCAGGGCCCAGTGTACCAGCACCACGTCACCTCGCAGGGCCCTAAGCTACAGGCACGCATGTCAGGAGGGCGGCTTCCTGCTGGGCAGCTCTGCTCGCTGGTTCTAGCCCCAGAGTCCGCCTGGCCAGCCCCGTGGGCTTCCCCACTTCCAAGGCAGACCACAGAACGTCTCTGGATTCCTGTCCCACACTCAGCTGAGCACTGTCAACAAGCAGAGAGGACTGTGGGATGGGAGGTTGATGGCGACTGGTGGGGGAGGGCGACTGGAAATATCCCGTGTCCTGATCCTGCAATTTAGGAAAAGCTCCTGGGATTTTGGATTGAAAGTGCCCCTTTCCAGGCAGGAAAGAGAAACCTTTGCAGAGGGTTCAAAGACCAGGACCTCAGTGTATGTTTTCCTTACTTATCTCCAAGGTCCCGGTGCCAGCGGTGCCCAGCACTTAATAGGTGCTTGCTCAACAGATGTTTATTGTTCTGTGATGGTCAGGGTCTGCGAGAGTGTCCCAGGTGCACCAGGGACCTGAGATAGGGGTATGAGGCCCACCTTGGAGCTCCAGTCGCTGTGGAACCAGGCCGTGGTGCAGGGCCCCATGTCGCAAGCCTCTCTGCTGGGGGGCCGAGGGGGGCCGGACATGCACTCCCGCTCGCTCACTTCATCACCGTTTTTTCCAACGCAGCGCACCTGCCGGCTCCGCTGGCCCCGCCCGCACCGCACAGAGCACTGAGGGGAGGAGGAGCTGAATTTCCCACCAGCCTCCAGCATTGCCTTTGAGCCCGGATCACCTTTAGTCCAGAGCTCTGCCGTCACTGGGCTTTGTGGATTGAGGAAGCTTGAGCTCCGGGTCCTGGGCCCCCACCCCTTGAGCTAGTCTCTTATCTTACTTAGACACTGGGGTTCCATATGAGACCCAATTTGTAAGAACCCTCTGCTGATTAAAACTCAGGTTGTAAACACCCTGCTTGACTTCATTGGCATGTCCCCACCCCTGACCCGGCTCCACAGCCCTCCTAGCCTCTGGGAGCCTTGCCCAGTCCCTCTCACCTGGCTCCAGGGGGACCGAACCTCCCAGTGGCCACAGAGCCGGAGCTGGCAGTGCTGGGTGATATTGGGCCTGGGCAGATGTCCACAGCGTTCCGGGGGCACAGAGGAGCCTCCCCCACCAAACTCCTGCCGGCAGCGCAGCTGGCGATGCTGGGTGCCGGGGCCACAGGAGCGGCTGCAGGACGTCCACTCACCAGCCTCCCAGCTGTGGGCATAGACAGAGCAGGGGCAGAGGCACAAAGGGCACAGACTGAGCATGGGGGGATACACAAGGAGACAGGAACCCCTGAGAAGAGAGTAGGCATGTTTAGCATTTGGAGTTTAGGGCCCCTGGTGAGGGCTCAGGCTGCCAGGTTCCCCCTATTTACAGAGTCAGCCTTTCTAATCTGACACTGCCTTTGTGTATTTGGTGTGAAGGGCAGAGTCCAGGTGAGATCCTGTGAGGATGGTGAGGGTGTGTTTGCCCCAGGGGCAATTATTGTGTTTCTGGTACTTTAACCCTTTCCTGTGGTCATACTCACTAGGGGGGGCAGGGGGGGCCGTGGCAGGGCTCTGGGGAAGCTGGTGGTCTAGTGCCCACAGCACAGTTGTGCTCCTCCAGCTCCTCTCCCGACTCTCGAGAAATGCAGAGGAAAATGGGGCGCCAGACACCTGAAGGGGGTGAGAGGGAAGTCAGCAGGCTGGGGCATGGCTTGGGCCCAGTGTCATGTGTCCCAGGCCTTGGAGTTTGGGTTTGGCACAATGTTAAGACGTGGGCAGGTAGATGCCATCTGGAGCCAAGACGCAGGTTGTGGGATAAAGAGGCTGAGGGAGCAGGAATACAGGCCATAAGGAACTCACACCTTTTCCACAGGACGCTGAGCACTCAGAGTGTCCCACTCGCTTCCAGTATCCCACAGGAGACCACAGGGGGGTCCTGGGCGGAGGCGGAGCAGGCACCTGGGGAATCCGCACCTGACGCTGGAGGGTGCCTGGGGTCCGGGCCGGGCGGGACACTGGAACAGGCTGGGGTTCCCCTCTCAGGATTTCTGTGCAAGATGTCAAGTGAGCAAATGGGATGTCTCCTTCTGCTTGGAAACCCCTCTCAGCTCTCCTCTAAATGTAGGCATCAGGTCCTTACCAGGCTGAAGCTGGGGGGCAGGAGTCTCTGGGGTAGGACTCTCCAAGTTTGGAGGAGGTGAAGAGATGACATACTGATAAAAAACCCCTGGGTTTTCCTCCTGAAAGATCATCTGGTGGGGGGGGGGTGAATAGTGGAATTTGGGAGTAATGAAGGTTTAAGGGGTAGTACAGGAGCATATGGGCTTGAGTCCCCCAGCTTTGCTCTTAGAGGGAACAGCCTCCCTGCCGAGACCCCCAGCTCACATAGACATCCACAGGCTGGGTTGTGGGGCCTTCTGCTGACAGACTCTCCCCTGTGCCCTCTTCCCGAGGAGGACGGCTATACCGGAAGATGGTCCCACCAGCTGGGTAGGACCCTGGGGGATCCACAGCCCAGTTCCCATTGATGATGGACCGGCCCCCAGGGCCCCGAAGTGCTGGAGGCGGGAGATAAGAAACAGGAGATTATTCCTACTGTCCCCCATTGCTTCCTCAACCTAAATGGGCAGATTCCACACCAAGTCCAAGACCTCTCAGCCTTCTACCTCCACAAGAGAAGGAGGCCCTTCACTTCTACCTGTTTGGCTTATTTGTTGTACTGAGTGGGAGGACTGAGGGACAGACCAAGAGACCAGAATGGAATGGGACATGACCTGGAGAAGGTGGGGTTCTTACCAAGGTAGTTGGCACTGGGTCGGAGCTGGGCAATGTGGAGTTTGGAGGCTCCAGCAGGTATCGAGAGAATCTTCTGATAGCCCAGGAGACCTCCCCGGTCCGTAAGGTTCCCCGTAACAAAGTGACAGGTGGACTCGTCACCCCCACACACACCGCAGCCATCAGGACGCCTGCCAGAGCCGAGGATCCCATCACAGCCTGGGCTCTGGAGGAGAGTGAGGTGGGATGAGCCCTCCAGAGAAACAGCCGCCACCTTTCACTCCACCATGGCCCACCCAGGATTCTGCAGCTCATCTCTTGTCATGTTCTTCACATTACAAGTGAGAGCACGTTTCCCCGCCGGTCCCACTATCCCCAGCTCACCTCAGGCTGGCTTCTGTGTCCAGAGAAGGAGCTTTCCCACATTCATCTCAGGCTCTGCTCAGCCCGGCTGGACAGGTGGGAAGCTCCCCACCCCCCTGGGAATCTGTTTGGTGTTTTGTTGTTGTAATGATGAATGAATGAGAAAGAAAGCAAGACTGTGTGTGCACCAGATCCTCACCAGACAGCGTCCAGCCACACAGATGTCTAGAGCTCCGGGTAGACACAGGGTCCCATCCTGGACTTTCTCCGTGTGACGGACATAGAAGCGGAAGCCACGGGGGCGGCAGTTCAGTTCACAGCGTTGGGAGCCCTGAACTAGGAGAGACAGGGTAAAAGGGTGATTAGCTGGGGTCCTCAAAACCCAAATTGGAAAAATTCTAGTGTGCCTGTCACTTTACTGAATGAAATTCATTTAGGAGCATCCTGAAGTTGATTAGGTCACTGTGACTAAGGAAATGTGACAGTCTTGCATGCTAAAATGTTGGCTGGAAGGTCACACAAGAGTTGAGTCATGCTAGTTCAGGTCACAGAGACTAGCAAAGGGGTTACAAACTCAGAAAGGTCAGTCATATGAGTTCAGGGTTCATGAGGGTTTATCTTGACATAAAGAATTCACTGTTGTTTAGGGAGCTCTGGTGACCTAGTGGCAAGAAGCTACACTGCAATCCCAGAGGTAAGCGGTTCGAATCCACCAGATGCTCTGCTGGATAAGTAGGGAAAATATCCTCCTGCACAAGTCAGATCCTATTTGATGGCGTGCGCGTGCGCACGCGCGCACACACACACACACACACACACACACACATACACACGTGAAAATAGGAATTTTTTTAAAAAAATCATTATTGTGGAGTCTCATGACAGACTCATAGATGACTCTCCAGCCAGGTTGTGGAAGCTGTCAACTAACTACTCGAGAAGAGACTGCATGTTCCCACCCCTACCACCACCCCCAGCCAAAATAGCCGCTGGTGGATTCAAAGCTGTGGATTCAAGCTGCTTTGGGGTTAGCAGTGCCAGCTCCCTACAGACTATGCCAGTCCAAAACAGACTATGTAGACCTCTTAGAAGTTATACGACTATAACCCAAAGGGGGCACTTCTGCCAGTTCAAATCCACCAGCAGCCCCATAGGAGAAAGATAAGCAATTGCCTCTCACGGGATTTATAGCCTCAGAAACCCAGTGAAAGGTCAGCTGCGCGTCAGTTCCAACTTGAGGGCAATGAGGTTTTGCTTATCTTAATGTCAGGCAGTGGGGTACTTACTATGACTTAGGAGCAACTGATAGGAGTTCCCTGAAGATTCATGACACACGTCTACCCTGTTGTCACTACTGGACAGAATTTCTTCCAGGGCCCTCCTGGGCCACATCCACCCTCAAAGGATGGCTGCCTCTGGACACATCCCTCCCTCAACCATAACCTCTGCTGACCCACCATCTAACAGTCAGGCCTCTGTTCGACCTCCCTCCCCTTTCCTGGCCTGTTCTTACCCTAGTTCTGAGCAGTAAGACACACAGTATGACACAGAGGTGAAACAGAGGGCATGCAAGAAAAAACAAGGGGACAGAAAATCTCTCAGTGTCAGGAGAGGGTAGAAATCTCCCTCTTCGCCTCACCCTGCAATCCTGAGACGCTCCTGGGTTGGAGGAAGTGGAGAAATCTCACCTTCAGTGAATGGCTCCCACTGGTACAGCTGGCCCATGAATTCCTGGGAGTCAAAGGCTGCGCACTGCAGGGCCCTGGGATCTGGCTGCTCAGGGGGGCAGGGCTGAGGCAGGGGAGTACAGAGGAGTCAGAGCTGGGGAGGAAAATGGGGTGAGGGTCTGGGCTGGATTTGGGGAGGAAGGGAAAGGTCAGGTTTGTGGTAGCGCTCTGAAGCCCCTATGCTGAGACCCAGCACCTTCTCTCCTGGTCTCTGAGTAGGGAACTTAAGGACCCAGGGTCGTGGTTCGAATCCACAAGATGCTCCACTGGAGAAGGAGAGGCAGTCTCCTCCAGTGCCAGCAGGATCTGATTCGATGGTATACAATAAGAAAGAAAGAAGGGGGGGGGGGAAGTACTAAGGACCTCAGAGTCAGGGTTTGTGGTGAGGAGGTCCAGGGAAGAACTCACCTCCTGGATGCAGGCTCTCAACTGCTCATTCTCTCCAGAGCATCTGGGAACAGGGCTGCTGGGAGAGTAGAGGCTCCAGAAGGAACTGGAGTGGGGGCGAGGCAGCCAGCCATCTGGCCGAGGTGGGGAGGCCCCAGTAAAGGACCTGTGAGGACTCCCCGCAGGTCCCCTGTGCTCCCGGCTCTGCTGGACCCGGCCCCGAGGGATAACAGCTAACGGAGGGCGCCCCCCTGTTACCTGAGGACTGGCCTGTCTCTGGGAATGTGGCATTCTTGGCTGAGAGGACACAGGAAAGAACATACTTCCTTCTGGGGAGGGCATGGGCAAGGGCGGCTCGGGACTGGAGGCCTGGTCTCTGGGTTGGGGCCCTGTGGGGACAGTTCTGCCTCTGGAGGGCACCTCTGACTGAGAAGTTGTGGGACTTGGGGGTTCTGCTGTTGTGGGCTGCGTATGGGCAGGCAGTTCTATAGCTGTGGATGGAGTTTGAGGGTCCTGGTTTGGGGGTGATGGTTTTGTTCCTGAAGTCAGGTTTGGAACGGATCCTTCTCTAGAAGACACCTGGGGGAGCTCAGATCTAGGTGACCTCTGGGGGTGCCTGCGGTTCCGATGCAACGGCATAGCAAACGGCACTCGCCCATAACCGAACATTCCTGGTTTGATGGGGTCTCGAACCCGGGACCTGAGAAGGTATTGCAGATATGAGATCCGAGCTCTGGCCAGCTCTGACCCTACCTCCCCAGCAAAAATAACCCTCTAAGAACCATATACTTTGCTCTCTTTCTCTCCTACCAGGTTCCATCCCTTCCCTCTGAGCCACCCTTCTCACCTGCGAGCCCCTGGCCCCTCCCGGGCCTCCTCTCCCACTGGCTGAGAAGCAGGACCTCGAAGTGGGCCGCCTCTTCCCCAAGCCTCTGGTCGGTACAAGGGGAGGGTTTCTCGGGATGCCTGCAGTCTGGCACCCTGACCTCGAGGAGGCTGGGCTTCTGGATGTCTGGGAGGCCGGGGTGGGAAAGGCAGGCCTGGGTGGAGCTGAGCTGAAGGGAGCTGACATAGCCGGCTCCTGCGCTGCACCCCAACTCCACAAGGCTGAGAACAAGAGGCCCACTGGTCCCAAGGCCCCCAGACACCCTCAGGGCCCTGGCTTTCCTCTGGGGGTGTCTGAAGTGAGAATCCAGATAACACCTATGTGGAGAAAAAGATCAATTTTATTTTAGAGAATTATGAAGTTGTCTGACATACTTTGGACATGTTGTAAGGAAGGGAACATCCTTGGAGGGACGTCATGCTTGGGAGGGTGGAGAGACAGCGCAGGAGGGGAAGACCCTCAATGAAATGGATTGATTCAGTAACTGGGGTAATTGGGGTGGTTGTGTCGGAGACAGTGAGATTGGCACAGGACAGAGCAGGGTTTAGGGCTGTTGTACACAGGGTTGCTTGAGTTGCAGGCCACTCGACAACACATAACAACAATGAAGTATATCCAAGAGTTCTGGTGGCTTAATGGTTAAGGAGTTGTGCTGCCAACCAGAAAGCATGGGGTTTGAGATGGGCAGATTCCTCCCCTGCAATTTGTTGCCTCTGAAAACCTGCTAGAGCATCAGCTATGAATCATTTCCCACTGGAAGGTACACAACAACATGAAGAATATCTAGTCTAACACCCAAGGCTGTTAGCAGCCCCCAGTAATAAAAGGCAGGGCTAGAACGAAGTAATCTTGATGCTCTTTGCAAGGAGTTGGGGAGTTGGTCAGGGAAGCCTAGGAGAACTACGTGAGTGAAAGGGGTCTGGGGCTCAGCAGAGCTGAGGGAAATGGTGGCCTAGGGGGTAGTGAGAGGGCAGGGGGAGGTAGCAGACCGGCAAGTGGCAGCTTCTTGTCCCTTGCTCACCTCCTGATCCAGGCAGAGCCGAGGGAGGGACAGAAGCAGCATCAGACACAGCCGAGGCCTGCACCGAAGGCGGGAGAGGGAGGTCAGACACCCACATCCTAACCAGTTCCTCAGAAAGCAGAAGTTCCTCATTGCTCCCCTGCCCCCATGCTGTGGCCCCTCACCCCCCTTTCCAGGGACACAGTTCCCCTTGCCTCAGGCAGCCCCCCCTCTTACCTGCCTGCCCACTTCTCCATCACTCCTCCCTGCTCCCCCAGGGCAAAGGAGGAGGGGACCAGAGGAGCCACTCTACTCAGACATCTGGGCGTGGAGGGGCCTGGAAGCCTGGTGGGTACTTCTCCAGTCTTCAGAGAGCTGGGGCGGTGAGTCCTCGAAGGCTCCTCAGAGTGAGGATGGAGGGGTGAGGGAGAGCGCCCCACCCCTGTATGATCCTATGGGTGGGAGCAGGGAGTCACGCTGCCTTTGTCCATCTGCTGAGGCTAGAGGGTGGGGGTCTGACCTCAGCCTACCCAGTCTTGGCTCAAGCCTCCCCTCTTGGCCCTGTCAGAACCTCTCTGCTCCTCCCCAGACCCAGCTCAGCTCTTTCCAGGCCAGACACTCAGGGGGGCTCTAAGATTGTTTTCATCTAGCTCCCCCTCCTGATGTCTTCCCCCTACCCCCTGATGTACCTGGAAAGTTGAGGAAGGAGGCTCAGGTAAGAAAATGCCAGACACACCCCCTGAAGAGCTTTCAATAAGCCCCTTGGGCTTTCCAGAAAGGAGAGCTTCCCCAGTTACCTCTGTCTCCCACCTCTTTTTCCCCCTTCTTAGCTAAGCTCCTTACAGAAGAGTTAGCCACCTCTCTCTGTCGGCCTCAAAAAAACGTCTGAGCCAAGGGATAAGCGAAGTGGTTTAATCTTGAGAGAACCAGGCAATTTCGCACTGATTAAACCTCTACTCTGCGTGCCAGAGGTCCCTGAGTGACACAGATGGTCTCTGCTTGACCTCAGACCTAAGAACGGACAGTCTGGACCCACCCAGCAGAACGGCGGGAGAAAGGCCTGGTGATCTACCTTCATAAAGATTATAGCCAAGAAACCTCCCCAGAACACTTCTCTCTAACATGTGTGAGTTGGAACTGACTCAGTGGCATCGAGTTAATGGACTGAATGCCAGTGTCCTGCAATGATTGACTGAGTGTTCAGCTCATGTGCACCTTTAACAGCAGAAAAACGTAGGAAGGAGGGATTTAGCAGCTGTAGCTAGGGCTGCCCTTGGTTCCCAGTCATGGAACCAACATTCTGCAGAGCCGGGAAGTTTTTCTTGAAATCTAGCTTTGACAGTTGGGGAAGAGGGGATCCCTCCTGGCTTTCAAGCTTGACTGTTCCCACCTCTCCCTGCACCCACTCCATGCCATTCTTCTTTTGAGCCCTTTCTATCCCCAGCCCTCATCTTGCTTAGTTGTGCTTTCCAGGAAAAAAAAATTGTGTGTTTCTTTTGGAGCTGAAAGACACCCGGGAGAGGAGTCCAAGGAGCCAGTGCTGAGGTGGGCCAGCTCAGGGGCAGGAAAATGGCAGAGAGAAAGGGCAGGAATGTACTTGGGGTTAGCACCAGCCAGCCCTGCTTGGTGTTCTACGACCCCAAGATGCGGAAATCTGAGGGAGAAATCAGAGTGCTCAAGCCAGGTTGTCAGGTCCCTCAGATGCTCAGGGGTGCAGGGTGATGATGGCAGCTCCTTCCCTGGCTCGGCCGGCCACTGAGGTCAGAGACTACACCCAACAGGCTGGGGGCTCCCAAGAACGGTCCACATTCCACCCAAAACTCCATAGCTCTGCCTGACTCTTAAAGCCCGAAATGGAGGTGGAGAGGAAGGAGAGATGGAGGAAATGGTCATTCTCAGCTCCATCTCTGCTGCCAGAATCCCCTCTGCATCCCCTCAATCTGTTACCCCAGGTCTATATCTCGCTGTCCGTCTCCTCGGGTCTACCCAGGACACATAATCCTGTCCTGAGCTGGGTTTGGCTTTGGCAGTTCCCTGGAGAAGTGGAGGGTGGGGGGTGGGGGTGACGTGAGCTCCTGGGGCCCAGGCCAGGCCTGGCTCCCTCTCTGGAAAAGTCCCACCCCACCCCCCTGCGCAGCTGGACAGGGGGGCCGATACCCCTTCCTCTGTGGAAAAAGGCACACATTTGTGCTTTTCACCCCTTTTTATGTCTCTTATCTGGTGTCTCTCACTGCCTAGAGTGAGGTCAGAAGTGGTCACTCTGTTGTAAGGCTGGACACGGCTCTGGATAACCTGGGCTCCTCTTGGCCACACCTGCTTACACTGGCCAGTGAAGATCAAGGAGCAACGCGGCCTGGGTAGAGCTAACCCTGTAACACTCAGGGGGACCCATCTCTGGGCAATGGGACACCACGGGGGAGACCAGGAAAGTTTACTTCTGGACTAATGGTAGAGGGACCCTGTTCCGAGGCCCTCCATTCCTAAGTCCTGACGGACCGTCCCAACAGGTGTGTTTCTTTGGTCGAGCTCTTCTGCTATCAGGCTCGGCTGGATCAAGGGCACACACCTGCATCTCTCCCAGGCCACTATTTCCCTTCTGAAGCAGTGAATTGTGGTGCACGGGGCACATGTCGTCGGAAAGCGCCCCCTTAGTGGAGGAGAGGAGGAGGCGCGGGCGCGTGCCGGGAGGTCCTGGGTATGTTTTCCAATTTTACTATGTGACTGAATAGGAATTTTGGCTGATTCCCCATCCAAGGGAAGGGGCCAGAGTTCCATAGGATCAGAGCCCCCTCCCCAGGAATTCGACCTCAGGGTCTGGAAGGTCTTCCTAGTCTGTAAGTGCTGGGACCGGGGTCGCGGCAGGGGCGCAACCGCGGGGCGCAGGCGGCGGGGGCAGTGCGAGTTAGACTGTCCGGTCTAACGGGACCGGGGAGAGGGGGCGGCCGGGGCTGGGGTCCCAAGAAGGGTCTGTACCTGCTCTGGCGCCCCTGGCGGCCCGTTAACCCTTCTGCACCCGGGCGCTCTGTCGAGACAGCCTCGCTCCGCGCGGCCACAGCGGCCCCTGAGCCGGGGTCCGGACACTGCCGCCTCCGGCTG